TTTGCATGGGTCGGTTTTTCGGTGTTTCGGGTTGAGTTTATGGGTTTTTGGTTTTAAAACCATGGGTTTATGAGCTCTTGTTTTTTCCAGTTTTCGGGTTCAAACCCATTGAAAGTACGTCGCTATAAATGGGATTGTATCTACTTTAAATATACTAAAATAAAATGTAACACCCATTGTAACACCTGGTATGTGTTCTTCAGTATATGTATTTTTCTCTGGGACTCAACGAGTTGGAGGATCAACTCGTCGAGTAGGGACGTGGCTGCGAAAATTTTAAGTGACCAACTCGACGAGTCAGGAGACTGACTCAGCGAGTAGGTGCTGGTTAAGTGAAACCCTAAATCTGCGGGTTTGCACCCTATATAAACAACTTAACTCAGCCTCCCTTGTCCCTAACACTCTCTTGAAAGCTTCATATCGAACCCTAGCTGTTTGTGTGTGAGTTAAGGCCATTTTTGGTGTTCTTGTGTGGATTGTAAGCTTGGAAGGAAGAAAGGAGCTTGGAAATCGAGTTGGGGCTTGTAGATCCGGAGATCTTACTTCATTTTTAGTAGCTTCAAGGTATAATGCCTCTGTCTTGACTCATCTATGTGTTTATTCATCTTTAACTTGGGATCTCCATGGATTTCTAAGTTATTTTTTGGATTTGAAAGTGTTTAGTGAGTTTTGACTTTAGATCTGGGGCCTTAAGAGGGGTCTCATGGCATAAAGGTGCCAACTTTAGGGTCATGAGATCCCCATGCACATTGTAAGACACTTTATATGGATTCTTGAGCTAAAAACCTCATGCATGTGCATCAAGTTTGGAGCTTTACATATAAAATGGACATTAGGAGGCCAATTATATGGTTTTGGTGTGTTAGACCTCATTTAAATCGACTGTATGGAATTGGTCAAGGTTGGACTCGGCGAGTCGTTGTTGGCACTCGACGAGTTGGTGATCATTGTGCACCAAACCCTTTCGGTGAATGGGTAGGTGTTAGGAAGGAAGTCCCTTTGTGGGTTTAGACACGAAAGGGACCTGGAAGCCATGGGACTCGGCAAGTGGTATGAGCAGACTCGGCGAGTCCATAGCAATCTCCCAATCTTTGAAGATAGACTCGACGAGTTGTTCATACAACTTGGCGAGTCATAGACTGGACAAGTTCTTAAGTTAGAGATGAACTCGACGAGTTCAAGAAGGAACTCGGCGAGTCGGATGAAGATGGTCCCGATGTTATGATTGAAGGAGAACCCGTCGAGTTTTGCTAGACTCGACGAGTGGAGCCGGGGTTTTGTGTGGGATTAGAGAAGCATGGACTCGACGAGTTGGTAGGCCAACTCGGCGAGTCATGTCAACTGAATGTTGACTTTGACTAATGTTGACTTTGACTGAACTTGGACTGACCCTGTTTAGGGTTGTATGTGATGTGTGTTGACTTTGACCAATGTTGAATTTTAAGATCTCGTGAATATGAACTTGTCGATATAAAGACAGTCAAGAAAGGAGTTATAAATTTCACACGCACTTTAACAGTCTAAACTAGTCTAAATATGAATTTTTGTTAGAGTGATAATTAGTAGTCGAGACCTTAATAATAGTTGTATAGATCGTCGATAGAATTTCGGGGATATAAAGAATGTAAATAACAGAGCTCCTATGAAGAAGTTATGAATTTTTCGAAAATTAGGAAATTCGCATATGCGTAGTGTACGATGCGCTTGATGACGTGAAACCATGAGAGAGCGCCACATGGCAACGTTGGGTGGTTGAACTCTTTGTGAGACATGGTAACATGGCACCATGAAAAGCTGACACGTTGCTCACCAGAATAGCAACATGTGGCTGCTTCTAGATAGGTGGGAGGTGGACCCTTCAAGACGTGACATGTGACACAAGTTGGGAGGAGCCAACATGACAAGATGGTGCAGCGCGTCTCCCAGCAGCCTATATAAACCCTTCCAAATTCAGCTTATTTCCACTCCAAAACCTCCACAACTCTCTCTTAAACCTCTAGATTTCTTTAGGGACAGTTTTAGGGGGTTTTATTGGTCAGTAGTGGGGCTCTAGTGTGTTAGAGGATCCGATAAATAGGAGCTTTCGGTTTTGGAATTTTATTTGCGCGTTTTCCTGCTTTTTGCTAAAACCACTATAAGTTAAGCTACACTCTTATGCTTTCAGTGTAACTTGTATTTATAGTCATAAGTCGTTATTATGAATCTATAAATAAAATTTATCAGTAATTCCAAGTCATTATACTAATTGTTCTACTTACGGGGATGATGTCTAGGCTGGATTTATATGAGTTGTTTAAAGTGGGATTTCCAAACTATATACTCTGTATACCAAACATACCCTACCTTCGATATGATCCTACATTTTTGTTCCTTACTTGATAGATCTTGATGTAGACATTAGGATTAATGAGGAATCTAGACCATCATTAGTCACCAGGAGTGTTAGATTAAGACTTAGTAATCGTCATACTAGGTCACATCAAAGAAAAAACTAAGGCACCAAGGCGAAGTTCCACCCTAAGTCTAAGGTATCCACTTTTATCATGTGAGTGCAAGTTATTTTCAGCTTACATATAAATATCAAATATTAAATTTGCTTAGATGCCTTATGTGTTTATTATATGCGCTCCTGATAGTTGTGTTAAATGAGATAATGATTTTTACTCATAGTAAATTATATATGTACTTTATTATACTTATATTGTATCGGGTAAAAATGGTATATAGATAAAAGAGATAGTATAATGGTGAGAGACCATGTCAGAGACAGAAGAGTGGTGAGAGACCATACTAGAGAAAATAATGGTGAGAGACCATGCTAGAGATAGAATAGTGGTGAGAGACCATGCCTAACTAAGAGCATTCATCTAGCAGAGTATTGATGATAATCACAGACTCTTCTAGACAGTTTAGTGTAACACTAGCATACTCATAATTTGTAAGTGTTGATGAATCATAATATCCTAGAGTATGGATTGTGTGTTTATTCGAGTTCTCTATCCCCCTCATGGTTTCTTTACTAACATGTATTGCCAAGGAATCTCCGATACAATATTGTATAATTGTTGTTACAGAGATCCTCTAGGATAGATCCCTTGATTATCATTTATGATCAAATAGTGAAAATAACGGGAATGAGTAATCAGGATTAATCTGTTTGGTGTGTTATATATACTTAAAACAATATAATAAAAAAATTGTGGGTTGAAAACCTTATGTGCTCACCAGGCTCTCAAGCGCGACCCACTCAATTTTCTTATAAGACAGGTAATGGTACAAAGATACAATCCATTGAGAGTTTCAAGGAGTATATGTCATTAGTGCAATGAAATATTGTAAGGTCTATAATAATCAACGAAAACATTTTTTTAAAAATAATTTTTATGGGACGAATTCCACATTTATAAATAAACTCTATTTTAAAAATAAACATAAATAAAATGGGTTTCTCTTGCTGAAAAAATTGAGTAAAATATACGAATTCTAATATTCTAAATGCATAAAAGTATTCAAAAGATCAAAATAACCCAATTTTACTACCGAAATGTTAGAAGATATCAAAAATGTGATTTTTTGAAACCATGTGTCAACAACTTACCACTTTTCAAATAACACAAGGACCATTTTGAAAATTTGTCATTTAACTTCAACTCGAAATAAAAGTTCTACAACTAACCACTGACATTTTTTGGATGAATGCTCATAAATAAATAAATAAGGATTTATCTATATTTAGAAAATTCATTTCCCGTGGGGAAATATTTCGGCCTCCTTCACTAACAAAAAAAAACATGTTTACTATAAATAGAGAAATGGTAATAAATATGATAGTTTTATAGATCATGATAGAGTAAATTACACAAATGATCATTATGGTTTGGGATAATTTGTATATTAGGTTCCTAATTTATTTTTTAATTTGGTAGGTTCTTTTTTTTTTTTTTACGTTTGATCCCTATTTTACCTAAAAAAACTATTTTGCTCTTGATTTTTTAATTTAATTAAATAAACACCCTCAAACCCCACCCCTCATCTTACCTTACATAACCACTAATTTTTCTTTTTTAAATAATATTTTTTTGATTAGATAGAGATCAAACATGTAATAGAAATAAACAGTAGGGATCAAACGCATAATAAAAACAAACAGTAGAGATATTTCGAGTTAAAAAAATAAATTAGGGACCAGACGTGTAAATTACCCTAAATCATAGGAGTCATTCGTGTAATTTACTCGTCATGATAACTATTATATAAACATATAACAAACTATAGTATGAAAAAGAAAAAGATTTTATTTTTATAATAATGATCTAACAGGTTAAATAAAATGATGTCTAATTTTATTTAAACACTTTCCAAAAAATAGTAATTTTGCAAACTATAACAGGTTAAAGATGTAGATAAAACTCACGTTTCACATATGGAAAAATTAGACTTTTTTTTTTCTTTTCAAAATGATGTTGTTTTGATTGCAACATCACCATTTTTTAGATCACTGTCATTATTTCATAGGTGGTTGTCAGTTTTCGTATATATTATCTATGAAATTTATGGTTCTTTTGATAATTAGGTTCATTATTATTATTATTTTTTTTTCAAATTGATTATGATTAAACATATTTATATTTTTTTTTTAAACAAAAACAAACTAATATGTTGCAATTTTTTTTCTTGGCTTAGACGTAAAGCTTTCGGCTCCAATATAACCTGAAAAGCTTGGTTTTTAAACCCGTTGTAATTAGTAGCATTTTAATTATAGCGTTTTGTTAGAATTTTAATTAGTATGTAGCTTTTAAAAAAACAAACTAATATGTATAACTTTGCATTATACCTAAAATTTTAAAATATCACTAAATTAACAAAACATAAACAAAAAGGATGGATGAATCAATCAAGAGATAAGTTTGAGAAAAAGAAATAGTTGTAAATAAAAAAAAGAATATACTTTTAACAATATATATTTATTTATAGACGAAAATAGTAGGTATTTGGGGAAAAGCGGATATAAATAGATAACAGATGAGTGCCCACACCCCACGTAACAGCAGTCGGTTCCATCTTCCATGAGCTGACGGGGCTGTTCAACATTTTCTATCACCATCTTCTTCAATTCCCCACCCAATACACATTTATGTAAGTCTTAGGTAAATCACTTTGAACTGTTCATACTACTGTTTCATGATCACTACTTCAGTATAAGCTTGGTACTTCACTTTCCATTCTCACTATCTCATGTTCTTATGTGATTTTGATCGTTAGTTCAACAATTGGAGAATTTTTTGTGCTTCCGTCGATTAATTAGGTTAAATTCTGCGAAAATGGCCGGAGAAATTGAGCTGGAAGCAAGCGGTTTCGTAAACCCTAGCGATACGGATCCTCTACTTCAGAATCACCAAAATGCTGCTTCTGGTTCATCGTCGTTGGCAGCGGCGGCGGGTTTGGGTTCTACTGAGATTACTTATGAAGATGTTGAAGCTGGATCGATAATCACTTGCCGTATTTGCCTTGAATGCGACGGAGAGGAAGGTGAATGTTATGTTTTTTTTCATTAATAGTGAAATCGATAAGTTCATAAGAGCATAATTCAGTTTTAGAGTTTTCTATTCCTTCACTGATTAAATTCGCTTAAAATTTCTCATGATCTTCTGAGTTTGCAGTCGTTACTTCACAATCGGTGTTATGTTGAACATTTTACATATATTCTCTAAAGACGATGATGGAAATCAGTAAACGCTTAAAGTGCTTCTATGATCAAATGTCCATTTGTGTTAAAGTTTTTACTCCTATATCTTACTGATGTACTTAAAATTACTTATCAAAATCAGTCTAGATTTGCTTCCTGCACATATCATGTCTCTAAATTGCTCCACAAAGGTATTCATTTTACTAATTTTGGCTTCTCTTTCAAATGATTTTTACTATAATTATCGATCCCAAATTGTTATCGATCAAGTTTTATAATGCTTTTATCATAAGACAAGTTATTAAACTATCTAGTGTAATAAACAGAATTTGAGTGCTCCTTGTCCCTCTTTTGTTAATGTCTCTCCTCTCCAATCCCCAAATTGTGAGAAAGAGACGCAACACTGTAAGAAAGTTATTCAATTTGTTTGATGACTAGTGGTGTATCAGGATTATATAGTGTCAATTTCTAATCTTTGATGCTATTAACTTCTATTTTTAGTAAGAATAGAAATATCTCCGATTCCATAACAATTCCTCATTAATTCCATCTTTCTTTTTGTAGATAACGATCTGATATCTCCATGCATGTGCAAAGGCACACAGCAGTTTGTTCATCGTGCATGCCTTGACCACTGGCGATCTGTCAAGGTGACGAATGACAATCACTAATCATCACCCTAAATTTATCAAAAATCAATTTACATTTTCTTTAACACGTGTAATTTTTAAACAGGAAGGATTTGCCTTTTCTCATTGCACAACTTGCAAAGCTCAGTTTCATCTTCAAGTTGTTGAATTGAAAGACAACTCATGGCGAAAGATCAAGTTCAGACTATTTGTTGCTAGGGATGTCTTCCTTGTCTTTTTAGCTGTTCAAACTGTGAGAAAATCTTCATTTTTTTCCCCTTTTCTTCCAAATCTAATCTATTTAAGTAATCATACAACATTACAATTCACTGATGAAGGTGATTGGACTGATCGGAGGTGTTGCATACATTGTGGACAAAGACGGATCTTTCAGAACTTCTTTTAGCGACAACTGGGATCGTATTTTATCAACTCATCCTCTCCCATTCTACTATTGTGTAGGTACGTGTTTTGTAAATATGCGAATCTATTCATTTATCGATTTAGAAAGTATTATTGAAGTATTGTTATGATATGACCAGGGGTGATTGGTTTTTTTGTGGTGGTTGGGTTTATTGGGGTGATAGTTCATTGTACATCTCTGAACAATGATCCGCGAATGGCTGGGTGTCAAAACTGCTGTTTTGGGTGGGGAATTTTGGACTGTTTTCCTGCATCAATGGAAGCGTGTTTAGCTTTGGTTATCGTTTTCATTGTTATATTCATCATACTTGGGATTGCCTATGGCTTTCTTGCTGCAACCATGGTTATACAAAGGATATGGCAAAGGCACTATCACATCCTCACCAAAAAAGAACTTACCCAGGTACAACCTACCTACATACTACCTACTACCTAACCTTCTTAAATGCCCCTTCAAAAGTACTGATGCTATTATCGTTAATGCCCGCCCGCTTTTAAAGAAAAAAGTAGATAGTTCGAAAAGCCAAACAGATTTTTTTGTTTGTTTGAATCCTTCTTTTTCTTTTTCTGATATAGGAGTACGTAGTGGAGGATCTTCATGGACGTTACACCCCTCCAAAACTCGAACCAGAACATGCAGACCGACTTAGAATGCTCAAGCTTTTGTAAATTCCTCTATACACATAAATATATAAAAATAATAATAATAAGTCTGGTTTGCCTTTCGTCTTGTTATATTATATAATATATATATACATCAATATATGATCGTTTCAGTTGTATATATGCATTATCAATACAACATAACAAAGAAGAAAAACAGAGAATGTTACTATTGATTGATATATGTTAGGTTATCTCATATCTGTTTAGAAAAAGTTAAAAATCTACCAAAAAAAGATAATAAACAATTAAAGAGATTAGAATTAGATAAATCTTGATGGTGTTATCTTAGATTTTCACCATCTGGTTGTTCACTCGGCATATTTGCATCACTCACAAATACCAAATGATCACCATCTCTAACAACATCTATATCATCTACTTCCGCCCTTTCTTTATTCACAACCCTCGCCCCCAACAAACCATACTTTTTCAACCCAATCTCAACTAACTCTTCAAACGTCTTCGGTAACATAACAAGCTTGCCCGAAACATCACCTTTCTCCGGGCAGCTCACAACAATCCTGCCCGGATTCTCCTTCTCTCTCCACCCACCTCCAATGCTTGTAGGCTTAGGGGATACCAAATCTATACTATTCTCGCCTTCTCTTTTATTCGACATAATACCAAAAAGCGAATTATGGAAATTATCACTTCTACGCCTCCGCCTTGACCTGCTCCATGACCCTGATCCTGACCCGGGCCCATCGTCTGTATCCGGTCCTGCTTGGGTCATCGTGGGCTCACTTTTGAACCTCCCGAGAAACTGTACATGTGGCGAATGATGCGCCCGTGTGTCTTCGGGAATGGACACGAGTGGTACAGGTGGCGGTTTGGTCAACTGGTGGTCAACTATTACAGATTGGAAAAGCGTCTTGATATCTTCATGTCCTTGTTGGTCAGCCAAATCTCGTGGGGTCCACCCGTGACCGTCTACTTGGTCAATATTAGCTCCTTGACTTAATAGAAACTTCACCATCTCAACATTGCCTTCATTGACAGCGACATGAAGAGCCGTCAAGCCGTCGTTTTTAGGACGCGTCACGTCACCTCCATAACGAATGATCTTTTTGAGTAAATCTAGGTTGTTTTGTTCAGCCGCCATGCAAGAAAACTGGCCCACGTCGCCGGAAGATAAAGTCCCGCCGTTATCCGCTAGAATTCCAATCACTGTTTCATGGCCACCAACTATCGCCTCCCATAATGGAACACTCCCTTCTGAATCTTTACAATTGGGATCTACTCCATAATCTAGAAGCAAAAGCACACAATTTTGACTTCCTTTTGACGCTGCTATGTGCTGAAAACAACACAAAACAAAAACATTGATTAAAAAAACAGATATAAATATTAATTTTTTTTTTTAAATTGTATGTTTGAATATTTACCAAAGCGGTTCTCCCATTGTTGTCGGATTCATTTGGGTCAAGACCTTTCTTAAGCAATTTATGCAACAAAAGGTCGTCTCCTCTAAGTGTAGCAAAGCAGAGACTTAGAGGCAAGTCCATCCTGCCACGTGCCAACATGTTCTCTGTCTCCACCAACACCGTTTCCATATGTGGATCACCTACGTCTTTCAAATGCTGTCCCCATAAAAAAAATATATATATATTTAATGACACAAACTACAATGTCTTAATAAGAAAAAAATATTTAACAGTATAAAAACCTGGAGAAGATTGTTCATAATGATTGTCCCATCACCAACGTTAGCTTGAACAATGTTTAAAAAGGTGGTCCGGTTTAATCGTAATAACTGGCTTAATCTTTTGGTGCGAACTGTAAAAAGTTGTGGTCTATAACAAAGAACACCGATTTCACCACAAAGGTCACCAGGTCTTGCTTCAGCTATAACCTGTTCGACTCCGTTTTTCATAACGATCAATTCCTGATTTTACATAATTAAATCATTAGACACAAAACAAAAAAAAAAAAAAATCAATTACTCTTATTGAAAATATATACAACCAATAAAGACTCACCACTGCTCCCGTAACAAGTATATAGAAATCCGTTGGCGCTTCGTTCTGCAAAATAACATCTTCCTTTGGAGGAAAGTATTCCGCTTTCATTTCCGAAACCTTAAAAGAAATCATGAATCGTTATTAAATACGAAAATAAATTTCTGTTTTTGGAAAATATATTTAATTAAAAACTGAATAGGGATATAGACATTAAACATACCAGCTGAAAAAGCAAGTCGTTGGAGACGCCACGAAACAAGTAGGCGTTATCTAGAAGCGAATAGAAAAGGAAATGAGAAATGCTTGAACGAATGGCTTTTGGTAGCGAATCAAGAGTCTCTTGTTGTTGAAGGCCCTCTGAATCCGTTCTAAACTTCAAACACAAATGCGCAAGCATCTGATCTTGCAAACGAACTGGCAACTGATTCCTATGAGCAAAACTCGAAGCCGCTTGAATCGAGTCCCTCTACATAAAACACAAAACCCAAAAGTAAATAAACATATTACAGAATACATATTAAACTAAAAAATGGTAATATGTCGAGAAAACTTACGAATTGTCTAGTTTTACTAGTGCCATGGACGACTAAATTTGTCATATTTCCGATGAGATACGAAGTCAATCCAAGGTTGAAAAGCATGTAACATATGACAAATATCATCTCCCTTCTATTTTGAGCATGTAAATCTCCATATCCCACAGTGGTGAGAGTTGTAATCGACCAATACAAGGATGTCACATAACGAACCCCCAAACTTTCCTGTTTAAACCCTTCATTATCGTACCCGATCCAAGTCCTACCCGGGTTTGGATAATGAGCAGCTAGATAATAGTAGAAACACCCCGCTGAGTGAACCGCAAATAGGGTAACCTATATAAAATAAATTATGTTAAAACGCACTTAACATAACCAAAAACAAATAACAGACGTTAAGTAGTGTCAGGATAATAGTACTTACAAAAATAAGCTTCGCACATCGCACCCAAAAGTAGTTGAAATGTCTATCTTTCTCCAATCTATAAAAAAAACAAGAAGAAATTAAAAGAAAAGTGAAAAAAACTTAATCCGCGATGTAACGAATGACCTAAAGGGTTTGAGGGCAGTGTGGGCCAGGTCAAGGATAAGTAGGAAAAAAAATAAAGTACCTGGCAAATAAGGCGCTGACTCTGCGTAAACGCCAGAGTCGAAACATGTTGAATAATCCATAGGATTGTAAGGATCCGGTGGAAATCTTGTGGGCTAATTCGGAAGGAATTGTGGAGATGATATCGAATACTAGCCAAGTGCTTGTATATCTCCATGCAATTTGTTTGTGTTCATCAACAAGAAGGTAGGTGTTTTTATCGAGGTAAGCTACGAAGAACGTGAGAATGATGTCAATAGCAAAGAAACTATTGACAACGTTGTCAATAATCGAAAGTGGTTTTCGTGGTTCTTCGAGAAAACCGAATTCGAATGGGGACACCCACGCAGTGTAGAGTACAAGTACAACTAGAAATGTTTCCCATGTCCTGTAAAAGATAAATAACGTTTTTTAATTAATTAATTAAGTAGATAATAGAATAGAAAATGACACGGTATATGTCATCTAGATTCCCACATATGTTAGATTAAAAGTTTGGTTTTACGGGCTTAAAGACACGTTGAATGCAAAGTCATTCTTTTCCACCAAAAAGAGTCAAAATTAGACGGAAGTAGAAAAAATTCTCATATCGTTTTCCTTTAATTGTCATCTTCTCATATTAAATACAATATTAGTTCTTTACAATTTTCAAAAAGGAAATAAATGCATCAAAGAGAAAATAGAAACATAAAAAGGAATACAACTATGACTTATGATACCTTTTATTTTAACTTTAAAGAACAAAGAGATTATTATTAGTTATTCTTAAATTGAGGCCTTAGAGATATACTATTGAACAAAAGAAACAAACAACAATTCCTTTGGAATTTCTCTTCTCGTATACACCATCCATTATTCTTAGAACAACAAATGACAACCGAATATATAATTACCTCCGTCCAAACCAAGTACTTTAATCGTGAATCTTATTAAAGTTGCCCAATGTTGATGTTTCTTGTTTTACTTTGATTTTGCATATTAAATATTTAAAAGTTTATACATATTTAATACTCAATCAAGATTTGAACGGTTTTAAGAAATAATAATAAAACGCACTAAAAAATCTGTGATAGAATCAACGTCCAAATCTCTGCAATATCCGCTGAGCAGAAGATACCAACAATAATAACAGTTTCAAAACTGCAGAGATATAAATGCTTTTGCTCGTAATAATGCTATCTACTGTACAATTGATAATGCACAGCGTACAAGAAATTACAGCAGGTTGACTGCCTCGGAACTCAATTCGTAATCAATGGCGGTTTCACAAAAATCAGCAAACTACGCTCTACGAAGCTCCAAACAGAATTTACGAACCGTTAAATATTTCAATTAGACTAAAATTGGCAACTAAAATCCAGTTTCAGATTGCAAATTCGCGACTATTAAACCTATCGCTGAACATACGCTCGCTGAAACTGTATGTATAGCAATATTAAGAATGAAGAAACAGTATTCAACAGAAACACAAAACAATCATAGATGATTATTTGATTCATCGACATGAATATATGATAATTATGTGTATGTATATACCTGTAACGGCGATCGTAAGGGGAGACGATGAAGTTACGAAGTTTAACACGACGATTGCTACGAGCACCGAGCGAGGGTAAAATTCCGGTGGTTAGACTGTAGTGACTGCCGTCTCTGGACATCTGTTCGAGTTCTTTCGCATCGCCACACATTGAAACCCTAAATACTCGATTCTTCTTGAGATTATTATCACTATCAAAAATTTCCGCCATCTTTAACTTCGGAATGCTCTTCTTTCTTCTTCGACTGCCATCTATTTATATGTCCCAAAACAATTTGATATGTGGGTCCCAACTCCCACGGTCTACACGAGACTCTTCCTCCCTAGTGTTGTTTGGGCTCTTTATTGCTTACCAAGAAACTATACTTTTTTTTTTAATAACATTACACTAATGGTCCTTTTACTATTTCATAAATCCTACTTTAGTCTTTTAATTTCGAAATTTGATATTTTTAGTATACACATATCAACTATTATTCGATGCTTCCTCTAGCTTGTAGTTTAATACTATAAGTTAATTATTCATGTATTAGATATTTTAAAGTGTCAAGTGATACTATTATAATTAATTTTTGAAAAGTAACTAACCATAACCAATGAACAATAAAACCATGAAACTATACTCATTTGGGGACTAAAATGTTAAAGTAAACTTTCAAAGTACCAACGTAACAATGTGTAAAGAAATTAAAGGACTGGTTTTATAAAGTAGTAAAACTGTGTGATGAAATTAATGAGTCTTGAGAATTTTACGTTTCCAAAATCCCCTCCGTATCCGTTTCATATTTTAATATTAAAAATAGATTCGTAGTCAAACTATAGTAATGATA